TGTGTGTGTGTGTGTGTGTGTGTGTGTGTGTGTGTGTGTGCGTGTGCGCGCGTGTGCGTGCGTGTGTGTGTGTGTGTGTGTGAGAGAGAGAGAGAGAGAGCGTGTGATGAGAAAGAATGAAAGCGCGCGCTCGCGATAGCGGGAAAGTGAGACAGAGATAGAGAGAGCGAAAGCGTGAAAGACAAAAATGCGACTAAGAGAAATGAATGACACAATAACCAGTGTAAAGTTATTTTATAATGCAATGGGTTTTCTATGCAAACTCCTCGCAATTCAAGAGTGCAACTTAGAATTTCAATGTTTGTACGACTCGTTACGCGTAACATCGTAAGGTAACGCGCCAGCAAACATCGGCAGGTGACAGGTATTTGCATTAGAATCACGTTCTCTGTCGATCTTCACGCCGTGCTTGTCCCGTGAATATAGCGACATACTGTCTGCGACAGTAATTTCTGCATACTTGTTAGCTCTAGCCTCTAGTAACTATAGCCTGCGTACAGTTGTCGCTGGCCAGCGGCAACTAGAGCTACTTACTGTTACTAGAGCTACATACTTGTATATGCAACTGCTGTGAGTTACGCACACGCCCAACAAGAGTCGCCCTACTCTTGTTGGGTTACATTATTGTATCTACTAAACTCTGATGCAGTTAACATAGCTCTATGGATGTTTATTTGCCGTAGCTAATAAAAACACTGTGAATCATAATCACATAAATCATAAGGGACTCAGACATAAGTCACATAACGCATGAGGGACTCGGACATAAAGCATAAATAATAATAATTGCCTAGGAGACCGAAACGGGCATTACACAGAATATATATATACTGCGAGGCTACGCCTACGATGAGGACGCTATATGGCGCAGGATAGCGTCCCTTGGCAAGAAGTCCTGTTGATCGACGGCACAGCTTGCACGGCACGGCAAGCTGAGAAATCTTGTTGCTTGATTGCCATAGCTTGGGCTATAGCTAGCCATGGGGTGTGACCTAGCTTGGGTAGAGCCAGCTAGTTTAGTTTTTTTAGCCAAACGGCACTGAGGGTGGTCACATCCAGAGGTTTTTTTTGCGCCCTTAGTGTTTCTTTTACGTACCACTCATTGTTCTTAGTATTACTGGAGACGGCACCGCTATTTTACGTAGTCATCCGAACCACGGGAGATTCACAGTCTCCAATGTTGAGAGCCAGGTTTTTACACCTTGAGAAAATTCACTGCTCCGGCCGGGGTTTGAACTCACAGCCTTCAGTGGGCAGTGTACAAGGCCTAACCACTGGTCCACGGAGGCTTCTCATTCTAAAGCATAAGGGACACAGATATATAAAGCATGAGGGACTCAGCCATGAAGCATATGGGACACAGACATAAAGCATGAGGAACTCGGCCATAAAGCATAAGGGACACAGACATAAAGCATGAGGGACTCAGCCATGAAGCATAATGGATACAGACATAAAGCATGAGAGCGCGCGAGGTTTCATATGTCCCCTTGCGCGATTGCACTCGTTACGTGTGAAGTACGGTAATCAGTGTACGCGTATCACATTTCACGTGGGACTCCGGAAGGGAAATCTATATGAATTCCCCCTCGTAGCTTCCGTGAAGCAAGAGCTATATATATATAGAATTGCGTTTTCATCATGCCACTCATTATATTACATATATTGTCATTGCGTGACAGGCGGTTTCGGTTCGAACGAAACCGCCCTCTATCGGATAATTGCTACTTCCTATTATCAGGAGCGTATAATGACAAATATTTGTCATTATACGCTCCTGCTATTATATATAGGAGGAATACACAACAGTTAGCCTCCGAAAATTGTGCACTATTTCGTCTCTAAAAAATGCATTATTTTTAATGTTTTTCGCTGAAATTCGACACTAGAGTGCAATAATTTGCATTATGCACGAAAGTTAGATGCCTCGTGGACGTCTAGAAAGCATTCGAAGTAAAATTGGTCTTGTCGTGTAGTTGTGACATTCCTTCAGGTGGCGTAGCCATGGTGACCGGTTGGTCATTTTTGTGTGTGAAATCCATAGAGATGTATAAACAAACTATTTATGAAATACTACTATGTATAAATGTACTATTTATACATCTCTATGGTGAAATCAGAGGTGATTTATATTATGCTTTGGTGAAATGTGTTCGGAGTCCGGACTACTTTGCAGAAACTCGCAGCATAGAGCATGAATCTGTAGTTATTTAACATAAATAAAGTATAGGTGATGTACAAAAGTAGAAGGCGTCCATAGGCAGCTAGTGTTGTTGGCCGTGTACGACATATATGATACCAGAGAAATCATAATAATATAACAATGCTACAATTATTTATTCACCGAATCCCCGCCGTCCATTTACACACGACATAATATTGCGCGCGATTAGTGCGGGTGAATACCCGTATGTTACGCAACCAGAGCCAGCGGGCAAGAAGGAATCCTTGTTCTCGCGTGTTGTTTTTCTCCTGCTTCCTGAGTGACAGATGTAGGTAAATCAGTAAACATCCTCATATCCTATTGCAATAACGGTAATTAAGTGATAAATTCCACGGCTGGTGCTTCTCAATGGCATTTTAATACAGTCTAGGGCGTTTATCAATGTCATTTTGACTATGCAAGCAGATGGTACAGCAGTCTCACAAAGCGCACAAGGGCTAAGCTGCAAGTGTGTCAAAATAAAACCATTGGATGTGTTCTCAACCTAGGTACTAGAGCACACATAGGTGCTAGAGAGTTGAAGGCTGTAAATTGGGTACCTGTAGAGTTCAGGGTAATGCGAATGAAGGTCAATAGGGTTTTTAAAATATTACATTATACATAATCTCGCCCCCCACAGTATATGACAGAAGGTTTCATGTTAACGTCAGAAGTCCACAGTTTCAATACAAGGGAAGCCGGCCTTCCCGGACCCTTGTATTGAAACTATATGGACTTCTGACGTTCGCTATAGGTGAGAGGTCTATTTTTAAACCGAGGGTGGGTAGCAGTGCCGCTGAAGGGGTCGTTGTCGTATCAGGTACTATAAAGATATACATGTACCCGAGGTACATTATTAATATTATAATATGTATACACAAAGTGTACCAGACTTGTACTATAGAAGTGTACCCTAACCCTAACTCTAACCCTAACCCTAACCCTAAACATACCTCATATAAAAATATAAACATAATACTAAACAACCTAAAACTATTTCGGGTACATATCTGTAGTACCTGATACGACACCGACCCCATCTGCAGCAGTGCCAGTGGGGAAAACTCTTTTACTTATACTGCTTGGAATTCTACCACACTAGCAATTAAGTTGGACAAATTCTGTTTATTCTAGTTTTAAGTATAGTGTTAAGAAATGTCTGATGGAAAAGGAAGAAACATTAGTCTGATTAGAGGCAGAGGAGTATGATTTTTGCTAAAAGAATTCGGTTGAAATTAGGCATAAGAAAAGTTTGTATCGTCTTATGAGAATGTACCATTGTATGACTGGTTAAAACTACAAATTTGTACAAATTTCAATAGTTAGTGCTGATAGTAGTGTAATTGTTAGATTCAAGGCATAGCAAAACAAGGACCACAATGTAAACTAGACAGAGGGCACTCAAAGAGAGTGCATACCTCCGCGAGCGTGTAACATGTATACATGTGTATAACAGCTGGCTCGCTGCTGGCTGCTACTGACTGGATGCCCTAAGGCGAGCTGCTGCTGACTGGATGCCCTAAGGCGAGCTGGTGCTGAATCGATCGATCGGTTGAGCGTGTGTATAACAGCTGGCTCGCTGCTGGCTACACACACACACGAACACACACACGAACACTCACACGAGAGCGATTACATTACCTCCCTGCAACTCCGTTGCGCGGAGGTAATAAGGCCAAAACAAAATATGTGTGGTTACCGCTGTGTTACATGCCGAAAAAAATAGGGTAGAGGGTATAGGGAAAACATTTTATTTTCTTGAAATATTTTATTTACGCACCATGTCCGAAGGATGTGCGCTGTGCCTTTTGAAGCAAGAACTGTCCAATTCATTTTTTTATTTTTTTTTTTGACTTTAAAGAAAATTGACAATAAAATGTTTAGGGTCGCTGGTAAAAAATTATATGGGAATAAATAGGGTCGGTCGGGGAAACTGTAACCACACCTATATTTTGTTTTGGCCTAAGTGTGCTAGTCATGCTTTTTGTGTATATATCCTTGGTAGTTATCCAATTTTATGAATTCAGAATTTTATTGTAAAAGTATGCTATGTATTGGATATGATGGATAATTGCCTAAATAAATAAAGAAAGAAAAAAAGAAAAAAAAAGAAATTGCATTCCACGCCTAGTGCCTGCATGCATGATGAGGCACGCGCATACATTTTGACAGTGATCGAGTACGTAATTAAGTGTACGTGAGTCGTTAATGTTACACTACTGCCACAGTTCTGTGATAGTAGCAGTGAGGGCCATAATATAGTAGTTCGAGCAACTAGCTACTGATATAAAGCGGTATATTGAAACAATTAAACGTGCAATAATTAATTCTGTGCTATTACGTGAACATGCAGTGAGTGAAGTTTTGACGTGAATTAGCTCCGAGTCGGCTTCCATATAGCACTCAATCGACAATGTCACATCCACTGCCAGACTGTTCTATATCAGTATAATATGGCATATCTGTCATTTGAATCCCGCTTGACACCGGATCGAGGGACCTAGATTTGATATCTGCAATATGGCTGCATGCACTACAGTACATGTGATAGCGGGTGTCGAAGTTGTAGACGTGTTTCACAACTCTACGCCCTAGTCTACAAATCATACGAATCTGCGGCTACCAATTAAGTGTCCAATATGTGACATGTTTTCCCATCAAATCTGTTGGTTTACAGTGGAATTGATGTGCTTTGCCTTTGGTGGCAAATCCCACTATCTCTTGACATTCTTGTCCATACCACCAGGAGTGTGGATTGATACCACAAGGATTGATACACTCCTGATACCACTACTACTGATTTGCCCCCCCCCCCCGCTCACCAGCTACGGCAATGAAAACAGCTTAGATAGGCAGTTGTCTAAATTTTTATTTTAATATCTGTTTGTATTTTTTGCAGAGTTCAAGATGACAGACCTTAGCTGTGGAGCGACGTGCTCAAAGTATCTCTTGTTTGTGTTTAACTTCCTGTTTTTTGTAAGTATTTCTGATCGAATTTCATAATACCACTTGTGATCAAAACTAAATTCTGTGTGAGATATTTGCATGTGAATGTGGTTATCCTATAAATTCAGGTGTGAAAGTACATTACTATTACTATTACTATCAAGCGTATGTGTTGCTTAGTATAATAATTGTAAATATGTTTACAAATACATAGTGACTGAATATGCAAAGCCAAAAGACAGTATAAATATGCACTTAAGTACTAATTAAATAATAATTATAAACAGGTGTCACATATAATTTCTTATTAATTTGTGTGTAGTTTTCACAGATATTTTTTGTCATGTACTTCAACTTGTTACATTTTTCACACGAAATGTTTTTTATGATTAAATTGAGCAGTGGAAGTGCCTCTTCTTGTATATACATTAAAAAACACAACACGTTATACCGAAATATATTTAAAAAAAGTACAAGTGGTTTTTTTTTGGCACAGACTGCCGGGGTGGCTGCTCTGGCGATTGGTATATGGGTGTTGGTCGACAAGTCGTCGTTTTACGATCTGACCAAGTTGACCGATGACGTGAATGAACTCGATGCGCCAGGGGTACTCGAGATCGCTGCTTATTTATTCATCGTCGCCGGTGCCGTCACCCTGATCATCGCATTCCTAGGCTGCTGCGGTGCGGTGACGGAATGGCGCCCCCTGCTGGTCACGGTGAGTGTTACTAAACAAATAATCCCTATTATTAGCGGACCTTGACATCGTCAAGCTGAGCTATTGCCATGGGTCGTACGTCCGTCCTTCCGTCCGTCAACATTTGGCTACGGTCAACGATAACTCGGGAACCGTCGACCCATATGTTTGAAATTGGGTATAGTTGTTACTGCTATGCTCCCATATTGAACGTCCTACTTTGGAGCACGCCAGTCGACGTACTTTTGAGCCATGGCAATTTTTTGCCAAAATTGGGACTTGCCATTAGTCAGTTCAGGTTCAACGGATTTTGCTCATTTTTGGTATGTGAATGAATAAGAGCTAGGGGTTTTGATATTTTAAAAAAAATTATGCAAATTAGGTAGGTTTTGGCAATTATATAGCATATTATAATATAGACACGCAGATAACAGTCTGTGGTGTCACACTCGTCTGGTTCGTTTTACAAGATTTCATTGACAATATCTTTAATGCAAGATTCCTGCTATGAACATATTATGATTTATACTATTATTATTATTATATTATTATTATTATGATATAATAATTTATGCTAAGAAACATCAAAGTGGTTATAGCGCCATCTACCGTCACAAATTGTGATTCATTTTTGTTTATTAAAGCAAATTAGTAGCGTTTGCAATTACTACAGCATATTATATAGACAAGAAACAGTCTGTGTGGTGTCACACTCGTTCTGTTCGTTTACAAGATTTAGTTGACAATATCTTTAATGCAAAATTGGTATTTTCCTCTCCACCCTGCCGATAAACGTTATATTAGAGTAAAGTTTTACAAAACATGTCGGAACGCGCAGCATAACCTATTTATTTCAAAACGCCATCGCTACAAAGCGGGTATAGCGCCATCTACGGTCACAAATTGTGATTCATTTTGGTTTATAAATTATTATTGGCGATTATACAGATGGCAATCGTTTCTATAATGTACGCGATGGTCGCTCATTAAAACTGACTTCTTCTTACCA